TGCTGCTTTCAGCCTTAACTGTTTATTTTAGAAGGTGGGACATAACACCACCCAAATTGTAGTTTTCCATGGAATTATAGAAGCTATTTCAAATTACATGACCTACTCCAGAAATTGGGCAGAGCAGGAAGAATTTGCTATGCTTTTTTGAAATCTCAATGGAAGGGGAAAAGGTGATTCTGCCAATCCTTAACCTAAAAGAATTACCATTCCCTGGGACATTTGAGATACTTGAATTGTATGTTTCCATTTATTTTCAGTTAAAACAAAACAGCAGACTAATAGGAAAATATATGTAGTAAGTGAAAAACATACCAAGAAAATAAAAATCTACAAGAAGAAATAGGGTAGTACATGGGAATGGGTAGCTACTATTATTATAGAAAAGTCTACAACCCATTTCAACAGATGACATTATATGATACATATTCAACAAAATGAAGTTGAGAAGATCGTATCAAGGTGAGTAGTATCTCTAAGGAGAACCTAGAGGTTAGAACAGATTACTAACCTAGCAATATGTTACCATGTAAGAAAGGTTAATGTCCTTTCAAATTGCATTAACAACAGCATCATTTCCAAGACACTTGAACCAATAATATGACTTTGCTCAATCTAGATCACATTGATGTACTATGCTAGTTCTGATCAATACCAGATAAATTGGAAGCATTTCAGGGAGAGCACAAATAGTGATAAAGTTCTAGAAGGGAAGATCTAGTTCTCACTGAGAGAGAGAAAAACTTAGGAAGATAGTACTAGTTGTAGCTTCAATTACTTGAAGTTTAATTATTTATATGAAGTGAGATATATATGTACAGACATACACATATGCATATATACACTTAAAGTGCTCCGAATAGACACAGAACCAGTTCAAACAAATTATAAATTAATATAATATCCTTAACTCCCCTTTTAAAAAAAATAACAGCTCCATAATAAATGTTTTGAAATATTAAAAGAATTACAGGAAATAAAATTAGTAGATCAGTTGCCAGTAAACAAAGAACAAGAGTTTGTTGAATAATCTCAGCCTTATAAAATTTAGTTATTGGTGGCTTCATAGAGCTAAAGGAGGCTGGCAGAAATATTGCCTTGATTCAAACTTTTAAATGGCTCTTATAAAAGTAGCTAGTATTGCAATCTGTTCATAATATAGTGGGATTTGTATAGAAATAACTTCTCCATTTATTGGATTTTATTGGTTCTTTGCCCTTTGTATGATTATGACCCCTTGCCAGATAAGAGTTATTGTTGCAGAAATAGTGTGAGTGCTTGGATAGTCTCAATAACATGTGCTGGTTCATAAAATTAGCATTGCAGTGAATTTCCTACCATAATAGGATTCCACCAACACCATCAAGCATTTCCAATGTTTGTTCATGCTATTATTTCTTAAAAACTTAAATAAAGATATGTTAGGAATGCTTTTTTTATCGCTGGATGGAGAACTGGCTATCATGTAGAAACTCAAGGGGATGTACTTGATCCATTGTGAGGTCTGCAACTGAGAGAGAAAGTTAGCCCAAAGTTAACCATGGCTAAAGATGGACTTGTACCTGGGTCTCTTTGGTAGGATATCATCGATAGGACATTTAAGGAAAGAAAAAGTAAGACTGAGGCAAGGACAATTCTGAAATCTCTGGACTTCACAAAATAATCCAGCATTTAGCCTGAACTTTATTTAATTCTGTCCTGAGAATCAAGTCATCCTGTACATTGAGTCTGTTTGTATACCAACTTGATTGTTTGATGCAACCCTATAGTACAATTGGTTTTTTTTCCTCTTTAGGAATGTACAAACCAATGCTGTAATGCCACAACCTGTACTTTAAGGCCAGGAGCAGTGTGTGCACATGGACTTTGCTGTGAAGATTGCAAGGTGAATATTTGATCATTCTTCATTTGGTATGGGCAAGATTTCATAGTAATGTTTGTGTTGGTTCATATATTCAAGGCTGGGGTATGGGTGTGTTTTCAATAGAATTCTTTGTGTTCCTGTCTTATAATGTTGGGAAAAAAATTATTGAGAAGACTATTTTTTTTAGAAAGAAGCCAGCATATCTGCTCCCATAAGACAGTGTGTATTTTTTAAATACCCTTTGTGCTAGTATTAATAGATGGAGCCCTATATGTGTATGCCTACCACGGCAGAGTTCTCTGAGGTTTAAGATGTGTGTTTCTGTGTGATACAGAACATCAAAGGGCTGTGCTTGCATTTTAATGAGGAATGAAGGTAGGCCTTTGAAAGTAAGCCATAAACAATTCTGCAGTATATCAATGAGACGCATATAAAGTGCTCTTTCACCTCCCATGCTGTGTTTAATAGATGCCTGGTACAGAATCTTAGGAAGAGAGAAAGACAACTTTAGGCTGTAGCATAAAAGCCACAATATAATGCATTTTCTTCTTTGAAACTGCAGCCCCTTCTTTTTCCCTACAGCTGAGGCCAGCAGGGATTTTATGCAGGGGTACCAGTAATTCCTGTGATCTCCCTGAATTCTGTACTGGAAGCAATCCTCATTGCCCAGCCAATGTTTACTTGCATGATGGGCACTCTTGCTACGGGGTAGATGGGTACTGCTATAACGGGATGTGCCAAACTCATGAACAACAGTGCATCACCCTCTGGGGACCAGGTGAGCTTGAATACTTGAGTTTTTTTTTCTCTAGATATTTATTCGCAGAAAAAAATTAGCATTGACATTTGGAGGAGGCGTGTAATGATTTCATACCTGTCAGAATTCATGATCCCAGAATAAATCTTTCCTGCTGCCAATCCTTTCCTCAAGCTGATAGTCAATGATGCATTCCTGATGATGCAAGTAAGCTGGTGAAGGATACAAAGAATAGAATTAAAATATTCGAAGAATGGTATTTTCTAATTCATTAACCTCTTTGCCTTAGTGTACATTTACCTCTATTAACCTATTAAGCCTAAAGTTTTCTGGGAAGTGGTTGTTACCACATCTGTTAAGTCCTGAGCATGGGCGCAAGGAACGGAGACGAGGCATTGAACTGTGACTTCAATTCTTTATTAGTGACTTCAGAACAGAGCGAAATACTTGGGCAGCAGCAGCTCTTTTATAGAGCTGGCTGCTGTCAAAACAACCAATGATTTGAGTTTACCGCTCTTAGAAGCGTCCAATCAGAGGCGACCCGCTGTCAGCCAATCAGATCAGCCAGAAACGACCAATCACGACTCGCTATTCGCGGGCCAATCAGAAGTGCAGGATTATGAGCCTGCTGTTGAAGTAAAACTATTAGGGTTGTTAATGAATGCGTTAGCTTAGTTCGTAACAACATCATTCTTTCACCGTCTCTTGCCAGCTATATTTGGGGTACGTAGCTTCCAACCAGCATGGAGCTGTGCTTCCGACATATTGAATGACAGGTTCTAGGCTGGAGAAGGCTGGGTACATTCTCTCAGGCTTTCAGAAACATCAGTTACAGCTCATATATGTCAACATCTGTTTTGCCAAAATTAGCCAGGATTTTTCTTGCTGGGTCATAGCCATAAGTCTCACTTCAGACCTGTGCACATAGTTAAATGTTACATGGAGATTCCTAGTGACCATCATTGTCCTTACTGGTATTACGTGAAAACAGCTGCATCCTTTCCTGGACAAAGGTTGACTTGCTTTGCTTGAAGTTACTTAACTGTAAAAATGCAAATACTTGCCTTCCTCTTAGAAATAATTACTATTACTTTTGCTTAAGCACTTAGAGATTTCTGGGATGAGAGCCACTCTGTAAGTGCACAGCATTAACTCTGAAAACATAAGTCATAGTTGAAGATGAATTAGGATGAAATGGTGCCACCAAATGTACTTCCATCAATCCGGGAACCGACTTGAACCATTATCTGGCTTTCACTGATATAAAGTAATCTGAATCAAGAACAGAGGAAGTGCTTTAGAAAACCGCATATCCATCCACTCCAAACTTTTTGCTGCTGTAGTTCTGCACCGTCCCTTTTCCAACATTTCAGTTATTTGTTACTTTTTTCTGCAGTCAATTCTTTTGACAATAGAGCAGTGCCAAATGGGGCAGTTAGACTGCAAAATAATGACTGAGAGTAGCAAGGTCCTAAAAAGGCAAATAGGTGATTTAATTAAAATAATATGATGTTACTTAGATTGCAAGAATCCTTCTGAGGGAAGGTCAGAAGAAAGATTCCAAGAATTAAGTAATTTCTTCTTTTCTCTTCAATCAACTTCACTCTATAATTCAACTTCAATTCCTACAGCATTCACTAAAATGCATTTTAAAAAAAATCAGTTGGTTATTGCTAATGATGATGGTGAATGGCGCTTTGCCGTATTGTACTTTTACTAATGGACAGGTAAGGCTCAAATTAGGGTTCTCCAGAAATTTGGATCTGAAGGGCAAAGTGTGATTCAGGGCATACGAGGCCACATGCACAGCTCATTTTGGGTTCCATTCAAGCTGCTTCTGCAACAAATATGTGATCCCAAGATAATAGACATTTGGTATAAGGCAGAGGTGGGATTCTACCGGTTCCCACCGGTTCTATAGAACCGGATGTTATGATTCTGCCCAGTTCAGAGAACCGGCAAATCATGGCCCTGGTTCGCCCCACCCCTTCCACTCCCAGCCACTTGCCTCTGATGAGGCTGAAGATATGCTGCTGGAGCTCCCGGGCTTTAAGCCTGGAACAAGAATGCCTTTCTCTCCTCCCCACCAGCTGTGCCTATCCCATTTGGAAAATATTGAGTTTCCATGAGATAGGTCGAAGTGGCTGGTGTGTGTGTGTGTGTGTGTGTGAAATTAAGCCTCCTTCCTATAAAATCCATTCAGAAACAAAGGAGCAGATATGGTTTAATTCTGCTTCAGCCCAGATTGCTGGGAGAGAAAGTAGTTTAAAAGTATTATTTAATTGACTAATTCATTGGCTTCCTGGCACTGCTTGTAGTACTGAGGAGCTGCTTGCCTTTTAAAATCCAGCACTGCTTCCCCAGCTGGATTTCAAAATAAAAGCCAAGGATCTCAGTGCTACAAGAAGAAGTTCCAGGAAGCATTGCTGTAGTTGAACCAGGCTTTAAAGCATTTTAAAGTAGCCTGGAGCAAGTATCCCTTGGGGCGGACTTTACTTTTTAAAGCTGTGTCCTTGTGATGAAGGGGCAGTTTATATCGCATTTTATAGATTAATCCACCAGTAGAAAATAGCTAACATCCATTTGAGGTCAATCTATGCATTTAGTGAGGAGGAGGAGGCAATATTAAATCAGAGCCTTGGTACAAGGGGCAATCCAGTAGAAGTGTTTTGATGGTTCTGTCCAAGCAGAGACATGAGCGTGGTAAGTATGGGATCTTATTAAATCAATTCATACAGAGACACAATGCTCAGTATCTTTAAAGTTGGTAATACTTTCATATTACTGACTTGGGAGTAATCAAATGATCAGGGCTCATGTTGCTTGGGGAATTCTGGGAATTGAAGTCCACATGGTTTAAAGTTGCTAAGCTTGAAAAACACTCAGAAGTACAACTTCTTGTGACCCTGAGTTATTTTTCTGCATTTTGGGAATAAGGAAATTATCCTATGTGCCTGGTGCAGAGATGCAGCTGAAATCTAGTGAGATGCTATTTGGAAGGTTAAAGTGGTAGATACAGATAGTCTTTGACTTACAACTATTTGTTTAGCCTCCATTTAAAGTTACAACAGCATTGAAAAAGGTGACATATTCCTCCTCCCCCCACCACCCCACAGAGAGAGAGGGAGACAGAGAGAGGGGGGGGGAGGGAAAGAGAGAGACAAGAGACAGAGAGAAAGAGAGAAAGGGAGAAGAGAGAGACAGTATATACACACAGAGAGAGAAAGAGAGAAGGAAAGAGAGACATACACAGAGGGAGGGAAAGAGAGAGAGAAGAGACACATACAGATAGAGAGAAAGAAAGAGAGGGAGGGAGGGAGGGAAAGAAAGAGACAAGATGGAGAGAGAGAGAGAAGACACAGAGAGAGAGAGAGAGAGCAGGGAGGGAGGGAAAGAGAAAGAGAGACAAGAGACAGATGAGAGAAAGAAAGAAAAAGGGAGAAAGAAAAAGAAATGAGAAAGAGGGAGAAAGAAAGAGAGAGACAGAGAGAGATACCTGTTTAAAAGAAAATAGAAAAATGGCTCTTTGAGTATTTAAGGTTGCAGACCCTGGGTTAGGCAAACACCATGGTCATTAAGCAAACACTGTGGTTGTTAAACAAGTCCATTTTCCCCAATGGGCATTTTTAACTAGAAACCAGAAGGAATTGTTGGAAACTGGCAAAAAACATAGAAAACCTCAGTCACAAGACTGTGTTGGATCTTGTAACTGATCATAAGTGTGTGTGTGTGTGCGCGCACGCACATGCATGGTTGTCAAAACACCAAAAACAGGTCAAGTAGCTCTAGGGAGGTGAGTCATAAATTAGAACACTTGCTAAGCAACTGGCCATTAAGCAAGGACCACTTATATTTGGTTTGCCTGTCACATGACCAACAAGCCACACCTAGCCAGTCACATGACTACCAAACCCTGCCCAGTCAGCAAGCCACACCTACCCAGTCATATGACCACCAAGCCACACCCACAAATTAGGCCACACTCACAGAACTGGTTGTTAAGAAATTTGAATCCCACCCCTGGTATAAGGGATTATAGGCAGGTAAGACCTACTCTTATACAATCCAATTGTATTATGCCCTTCAAATTTAGATATTTCATTGCCTAGTATAAATAAAAGTAAAACAAAAGTTCAGCTACAGCTACGGAAACACTGTTAATGAAATGCTAGAAATGCTGTGCTGGCAACTGCTGAAAAACACATGGAAACCTGGTGGTTTCTTCTTTCAAACTTCCAGCAGTTTTGTTAGCTGTTAAGCAAAAACAGAAAAAGTAGAAAAATTAATTTGTGAAGAAAAGTCCCATGTAGCCGATCATTAAATTATCTGAGAAATCTTTTGCTTCTAGAATAACAGAGTTGGAAGGGACCTTGGAGGTCTTCTAGTCCAAGCCCCTGTTCAGGCAGGAAACCCTATATACCATTTCAGACAAATGGTTGTCCAATCTCTTCTTAAAATCTTCCAGTGTTGGAGCAGTCACAACCTCAAGAGATAAGTTGGTCAACTGATTTGAGTGTTCATTTTTAGTTCTAGGTTGCTTCTCTCCTTGATAAGTTTCCATCCATTGCTTCTTGTTCTTCCTTCTGATGCTTTGGAGAACAGGTTGACCCCCACTTCTGTGGCAGCCCCTTAGATATTAGAACATTGATATCAATTAATTATCCAATTAAAGACATACAGTAATTTCAAAATGTCCATTATGCTCCAAAATTTCTACTAAGTTTTACAGTTGTTCTCATGATTTAAAAATGTTTCAAATTGTTGGATACCATACCGTTAAATCTTATTTAAAAAAAATAACATTAACATAATTTATTCCAATAAAATATCATAGTAGAAAGAAAGTTTTATAGTGCTATAAAAATCCCATGTTAAAGAAATATTTCACAGATTGAATTCAAGACAAGAATCTGTGTTACATAAGAAAAATCCTATTCTTTTTTCCCCTGCAATCTCTGCCTTTAAATTAAAATGAAATTTTTAAATACTTCGCTTCTGTAAAGTTGCATTGCCATAGCTGT